ACACACACACACACACACACACGTATCAGTGTAAGAGGCCATATGGCAACATCAGCATCTGGCTGCAGAGATTTCTGCTCATCTTTTACATAACACGTACATAAGCACAAATTTAGGTGTATAACTGATTATGTGGTGATGAAATGTGTGATTATTTCTTTCGGTTTGTTTTCTGTTCTGGGTGTTATTCAGTCAATTCAATTTTATTTGTGCACTTTGCATAGTAAGGGCGAGACCTTACAGACCTACAGAGAAATCCAAGAGTTCCCACAACGAGCAAGCGACTGTGGTTATTGAACCTTTCATCCTTCTCCATTGTTAGAATGATAAGGAAGACAAAAGGTGCCATCGTGTATTCCTGAGAGCATTATTGGGCATGAAATATTCAGTGTGAACTTTGACAACATTTTACTTTAATTTTACATCACACACTCCTCAAAAATCCATTTGAATGAAGCTCCTCTATGGCTCCAAATCAGAGATTACCCAGCTGATGGACCCTTTTCATTGAAATTCTTTTATCGTATTTCACCAAACAGCTTTGCCTCCACAGTTTGAATATTAAGGTTTTCTCTCTCTTGGGCCATTTTCTCTTTGTCTCTATGTGGATCAACAACTCTAACACATAGACGCACATGTCCTCTTTATTCTAACATCATGTTAGTCTTTTTTTGCATTTTCTTAGCGTGTCTGTCTCTCGGTCTATTTTCTCTCCTTGTGTAGGAAGGAGTTCTGCGAGCTGTGCCTGGCCAAGGACCGACAGACAGACAAGGTGTTTGTCTGCAAGAAATTCCTCAAGAAGGATGGCAGAAAAGTCCGCAAGGCTGCCAAGAACGAAATCATGATCCTGAAATTGTACGCAGTCAGTCTGTTTGCAGACGGATGAATGATCAGGCGATGGAGAGCAGTGGAGAGAGAGAATGAGAGAATGTTTTGTTATTTGATTTTATGTGCCCACGCAGTCTAGTTTATAGACAATGCAAAAGACAATGAATGGTTCGTGCCGCTCAACTGCTTGTGAGGCACTTCAGTGTTGTAAGGTTATAGTGCGTGACTTTTTCTTTTTGCTGTTTCAGGGTCAATCACCCAAACATACTTCAGCTGATTGACACGTATGAGACCAGGAAAGAATACTTCATCATCCAGGAGCTGTGAGTGTTTCTCCAACTGTTTCCCCATTTATCTTTCTCGTTCAATGTGTATAAGTATGTGTGTCTGTGATAATTGTGTATCAGCCTCCATGTATCCATCAGCTGGAGGGTAGGGATCGAGCCCATCCTCTTATTAAAGTGTGCTCTGTTTCTCCCCTCAGCAGCAGAGGAAGGTGTTAGATTTGATGAGATATTTTGCTCTCAGTAACACTCGACATTACCCAGTGCTCCTGAAGCACTGGTTTGTTGTAAGAGAGTCTCCACAGGCAGGAACAATACGCCAGAGACGTCCACTTCACTTGTGGCTTTGTCACCTGCATTTGAAAACGATAAGATTCACTGAAGCTTTTTTTCTGTTACTGAAACAAACAGAGACTGACTCGACCCAAAGTGACTGCAGATATCTGTGTCTGTTTCTGTCGTGTCCTCCACCCTTTTGGTCCAGGTGGTAGCTCCAATGCTGAGGGTGATCATTTGTGCACCGTCCATAGTTAACCAAGTCTTTCAGAGTAATGACCAATACTTTTTAAATTGCTCAGCAGTGATAGCTTTGGGCCAACAGGAGCAGATTGCCTTACCAATGGACTATAAACAAGAGCACGGGGCTTTCGATAACTGTGTTATTCAGTGCTAAGAGTGAATTAATGTGTTGCAACATGTGGTTAACAGTCGTGCCGAGTTGCGTTAATTTTTATTAGTCCATTTGGAGATGTGTGCACTGATGTTTTCTTGTTTTGTGTTTTCACCTGTGGAACCGCTTGCAGCGCCACAGGAGGAGACGTATTCGACTGGATTCTGGACCAGGGGAATTACACGGAGAGAGACGCTTCCAATGTCATCAGACAAGTCCTCGAGGCTGTGGCTTACTTACACTCCCTCAACATAGTTCACAGGAACCTGAAGGTGCACATCTCATTCATGTCCTCTCACTACATTATAGCACTTGGCTAATGACTTCTATTGCCTCTATAAAAGTACAGGATGAAATGTATAACAGAGAGTATAGAGTGGCCGTCTTCACCACCACACCCCTGAAAGCAATTTCAGTATTTAGTCGACAGATTCTCTATAGAGACACATAAAGGCGTTGCACTGCCATCTAAGTTAATGACTCAACGTTTGATAACATTTTTAGCAAGGGAGTAAACGCTAGCTTTATGGCTTAATGCAGTCTCTGGTGACACACGCTCACACACACACACACACACACACACACACACACAGGGAGAGAGAGAAAGAAAGATGTATATCTTCATCCCACATTATCACCCCATTAGGATGGAATTACAGCATCTCTTGGGCTTCAGACTCCCCCTGCTGGTGGAAGCCGGAATCTTCTCTCAGTCTATTTGACCGGGACTGTTAAATCTACACAATCAAAATGACATATTGAGATGAGTGCAGAGGTAGAGATGAAGATGCAGTGATAACATTACAACACACATTAGAGTGTTACAGCTGTAATTTTGAATCTGGTCATCCATTAGTTTTTATACATGATATTATTTTTAAATGCACCTATTGAGGAACTTGTTATCATTTAGTTTTTAACAGCTCTAACTACAAAGTGATTATTGTTATTATTGTTGTTGTTGTTGTTGTTGTTATTGCTGTGATATTGTCAATTTATTAAACTGAGTAACACACAATAATAAATAAATAAACTGAACATGTTTAGTGACTTTTCCCTTAATGACTTTAAATAGATGCGCTTCTGTTTGTGTGTATTTGTACGAGAATACTTCTTCTTTCCCTCTTTTTGTTTAGCTGGAAAACCTTATGTACTACACAGAAAACAACCACAACAAAGTAGTTCTGCGAGATTTCTACCTGTCCAGGTTTGAGAACGGGCCCATCACAGAGCCTTGTGGAACACCAGAGTACCTGGGTAGGATTCTTCATTTAACACTGTTAGATCGCAGCTGTGTTTTTTGGGAAATGAGCAGCCTTTCCAACAAACCACTACTTTTAAAACCTTTATGTTTATGTCTCTCTGTCCTCTTATACTGTGCGTCCTTCTAACAACTTTACCTTTTGTTGTGAATACAGGCCTGGGGGCAGGCATACATTACTTTTTTTGAGTTCTGCTGAAAATTATAATTTGTTGCAAAGCACATAGAACTGAGAGCATCCAACTCTTGCCCTCTTCCTCCTTTTCCCACTCTTTTCATCTCATCTCACATCCTGTCTCACTACTCTCTGTCTCCCTGAGGTTTATGCGAGGGCAACTTGGAGAGCAGAGCTGTGCTTTGGCCTGATTCCCTCTGCTGAAAGGCCAGGACAGTTATTCATGATGCTGAGCTGAGTAATTAGACAAATAAATAAGGAAAGGGAGCAGAGGCTGTGACAGGAAAGGAATGAGAAAAGGAGTGCAAAAAAGGGGAAGCTATTGTCTTTGCAGGGTGAAATTATAATTTTGGTCTGAAGCCATTCCAATATCTCTTCCTCTGACACTCACTGTATGTCTGCTCTCCTCTGCTTTTTCTCAGCTCCTGAAGTGGTGGCTCGGCACCGATATGGTCGTCCTGTGGACTGCTGGGCTGTGGGTGTTATAATGTTCATACTGTGAGTCTCCATTAGTAAATACCAAAGCTATAATTTAATATATCTTGCAGGACAACAAGAACCCAGCTGCAAATAAAACTTTTAGCTGAATAATTGCTTTGCTTTATTTATGAAGGCTGTTTCCAGTAATTACTGGCATAGTTTTGGTGTTATATTCCTTCCTCTATCTCCTTCCTTTTTTGCAGCTTATCAGGTAACCCTCCTTTTTATGATGAGACAGAGGAGGAGAACACAGATCTGCATAATCGCATCATCTTCTGTCGCATTGTCGCTGGGGACTTTGAGTTTGATTCTCCTTACTGGGATGATATTTCACCTGCAGGTACATGGCTCCACCACACGCTGGTAATAACCACCCAGCTGAAGGTCCAACTATATGTCAGTCGCTTTAATTTAAAGGGCTGATGATTAAGATATTTGATGTCACATATGTCAAAATTACCATCATGCATTCTGACTACATCTTGATCATCCGTATAAGTCCTCATCACAAACGACAGCCCTCAAATTGGCCATTTGCCTTTTTCGTTGCTCTTTCTCTTTCAGCTAAGGAGCTCGTCTGTCGACTTATGGAGGTGGACCAGATGCTCAGAATCACTGCACAAGATGCTCTCTGGCATGAATGGTAAATCTGTGCACAGTATTGTATTCACAAGGACAAAAACCTTCTGAAACATGTCTTCAGGGCTCACTCTCACTTGTGTGCTGTCTGTCCTCTTCATCAGGATTGCAGGGAATGGGGCCTCAGAGAAAAACCTAAAGGATGGAGTGTGTGCCCAGTTTGAGAAGAACTTTGCGAAAGCCAAGTGGCGGGTACGGATTCACTTCATTTTTCTTTTGCAGCGAATGAAGTTTGGCTTTAATGAATATGAGAATAATCAGCCTATTTGTAATGATGATGCTTTTAGTTCAGCATACAGCTCTGCAGATGCATGTTTAAATTTGCATGATACTGTATATGGTCATCAGGGTGTCATGGGGGAAATGAACGCTGAAGAAAAAGAAGGAGGTAATCGAGATGGAAATGCTGAATTAACAGCATAAGTAACAGCTATAATCCTCTTCTCTCTTTCCCCCATGTGGTTCCCAGGAGTTGAAGGTATTGTAGTTCATTCTGAGGGAGAGTGGAAGGACGGAGCATGGGCAGAAACTCACATTTAGTCTGGCATGATTCGATAAAAATAACATCTTTCATATGGCTGAACACCCTCTTGAAGCAAAAAGAGGTTTCTGTAGTTAATAATGACCCAAAGGAGACACACGTTAACTTTAAACCTCAGTCTGCTTTGAGATGTATTGATCATGGCGTTGGCTAAAGTGAAGCTCTTCTCATAAGCTCTGTCCTTATCCACTGTCACTCTGCCTGTTCCAGAAGAGATCCATCCACTTTTGCCCCACTTGTCTACATTGGATTAGGCTCAGATGTTCATAGTGGCCCGCTCTGCTCCTTTCTTACTCCTCATCTGCACATGTTTGTAAAACCAGACTGGTGTAAACAAGATAATGATCAACAACAGGGAAGAGGGTTTGCTGCTCATATACCTGTTTTACATTAGTGTAGATAAGGAGGGAGAAATGGAAAGGATATAAGGGATATAGGCCACTGTGGACTGTTGAAGTGCAGTGATTTGAACTGTTAAGGCCCTCTGTCATTCCTCTAATGTGAATCCTGGCTCATTGTCCCATACTGTACCTCAGTGTTACATTCAAGTCATACTTGAAACTATATACAGAAGCTGCTCCGTCAAGTCATGTTGTATTCAGTGACATTTCTGTGTCCAAACGGCTTTTTCGCTTCCAGAGAATCAATTCCTTGGTTTAGAAACAACCTCTAAGATCACACATTCCCCCAAACTCCTTCAGTGTTTGTGTATTAAAAGGAATGAGATGAGTGTGGGTGAAGGAGTTTCACACTTATCTGCTCATTTGCCTTTTCCACTCTGTCAACAAGCAGTCAAGGAGTTGCTTGGGGAGAGTGAGTCTTGAGATTGATTTAAAACAGGGTGCAATATGTCATAGCCTCCTGGAAGTAAACAACTGGCAATAATCTTGTTGCACTGTTCACTTGATGTGAATAATATCTCGTAGCATGATGGTGCTAGATCATGGTGCCTTGACGAGCTTTTTGTCCAACGCTTGTCATGGAAGCTTAGTTTTTATGTTTTACCATAACCAACTATAGTATCAAGGGTTTGTGTTATTTTAATTTTCTTCCTCCTGCTATCCTTCTCTCCTTTTTCTTTGCCTCTATCTGTTCTGCAGAAAGCGATCCGTGTGACCACCTTCATGCAACGACTGAAGAATTCAGAGGCTTTAATTGACAGTTCAGCCGAAGGTCAGGGCAGCGAAGAGACAGGAGACGGCGAGGGCGAGGGCGGTGTGTCTCAGGGTACAAGTGAGGAGGGAGACAAGGGGACAAGCGATGGAGGGGTGACATCAAGTAGTGTGTCTTTAGAGGTCACCGTTGAAAACACGCCACCAGGTATGGACCAGGATGAAGGGAGGAGTAAGCTAGAAGAAAAACTTGAGGAGATAAACATGACTTTAGGCCCGTCTGTGGGCACTTCCCCTTCAGATATTCAGGAGCCTCTCTGTCCGACACATGCAGCCACGAAATTCACAGAAGAGGAACCAGAAATGATTGGTTCAAAGAAGGCAGCAGGTGATGGAGCCAGAAAAATGGCTGCCAATTTGGGTCAAAATAGATTTCCTCCAGAATCCAAACCGACCCCTGAGGCGACGCATGACCCCTCCAAGCTGTCCGATGGTTCTTCAGGCACTAATCTTGACAAAAAACACAAATCCATGTCACCTGATCCCAGCAGCAAACGTAAAATGGCTGCAACGCTCCATGGCACTCCGCCCATAGCATCTACTGACACCACGGCCTCGCCAGACAAGAGAGGAGCCGCTCAGAAGGGACAAAAGGACGAGACTGATGGAAGCTGGTGTCAGACACAACTACCAGAGGCTGTGGCAGAAAGGTCAGTGGCAGCAGCAGTCACTCCAGCTATAGGGCCCGGAGCAGTGGCAGATGTAGGACTAGGAGTTAGTTTAAGGGGTGATGCTAGCCCTATTGGTAGAAGGGATCAGGATTCCAGGAGAACAGACAGATACAGTGCTGAGTTTAGCGTAGCTCGGGCAGGTCCTGCAACCGGACAGGGTTGTTACACAGTTGGCAGTTCTGCAAGCTTGGGTCGTCATACCACACCTTACAACCCAGAAGTTGGGATGGGGATAGCAGGGAGCTACGTGAGTCCATACAGCTCCCTGTATACTAGTGGCGGAGGGTTAGCATTATATGGGACAGGGCTACAGCATGGAGGAGGCGGGAGCAGCTCTACAAGCGACTGGCAAATGGATAGCGTGATAGAGCAGATAGAGAAGCAAATGGCAGCCGTGCTGGAGAAGATTGAGGGAGACATGCCCTCGCTACTGGAGCAGATCAGTGACTGCCCCGCCGAACAGCCACGAGCCCGGAGCACACACACCTCGCCCGCCACCTCCCGCGCACACTCCTCGACTGCAACTTCAGCCACACCGCCACCTCTTCCCACCTCTCCCAGGCCCGCCCTGCCGTCTCTCCCCCGCCTTACTATCCCTCCGCCATCCTACCCCCCACCCTCTCCACCCACACAAGCCTCACCCCAGGCAGCAGGAGAGCAGGAAGACGGGGATGGACAGAGGGGTGCTGCACATCACAGCCAGTCTCCGAGAGCTGGGTTGGGCAGGGGTCTATGAAGCAGGTGTCGATGTAAAACCCAACACCTGCAGCACTGGATTTAAAGTTTAAATTGGAGGGTTTAACAACGCTCACCCAGAAGTATTATCCCGTTTGCTCACCAGGAGAAAAGTAACCATACACAGTGTTGCTTGGTTTGGCTGTGTATTCATACTGAGATGGCCGTTTAGAGAAATCTCCCTATGACACTCAAATAGCTGGGGTCTAAGGGGAGTAGAGTACTTTGTCTGTCTTTATGGCAGCTGCAGAGACAAAGATCGCACCAAGTTTGTATTTTAAATCTAGATTGTGTGCATGAATGCACTCCACACAATCACCTCATACTGAAATCCAAGCTCAAAATCGCAAAGCTACACAAGTAAAATAAGCTGAGCAATTATTTTGATTTGCATTTTTCCCAGAAAATGTAAATAAAAACCTGGATTCCTAGTCTTTGCTCATGTCGTGACCTTCCTTCTATCCAAACTGACATTTAACCTATTTTTTCAAAATCTGCTCACCCATTTTGATTGTAGTTTTCATTCCTTTTTATTTATGTACCTATTCCTTGTACAGTGAGGCTGCTATATCATCAGCTCGCAGTTACAATGTTGTACAGAAGTATGTGAAACTAAACTGATCAAGCATTTCCACTGGCGGCTGGAGACAGATTATTTGTTATATAGTGTCCTTAAACTTGAACCATCACTCAGAGTCTTGTGAGCTGCTCCACACATGTTGGAGGGCTGGGGAAAAAGGTTTAGATGCAAGATGTTATTGTATAAAGGCTTTGCAATAAAACACACACATATTTCCTCTTCTTTTTCCAAAGTTCTCCAAAAGTCCAGACCATAGACTGCATAAAAAGATGGACGATGCATCTCCACTTACTCTCCGTACATCAGAAAATTATGAGGTCCTGTCAATACACACACTCGACCAATCGCGAGTCAGTCTCCGCTATCAATCATCTCAGCCCATAGCATTAAATAACGAATTAAAACCAGACTGATAAATGAACACTTGAACCTACATCAGCATGATAAGAACTACCCAAAATCACAAAAAACATTATTGACAAAAGATTATTTGACGTGTACTTTTACTTTTTAATGTGGTCCATGTCCCATCTGCTATCATGGAGGAGGTGGGGTTTATGACCTATCCAGCAGCCAGCCAACAGGTGGCGATCAGGACGTTTTGGCTTCACTTTTTGGGGAGAAGTCATGTCGTCCATCTTTATATACAGTCTACAGTCCGGACCAGAAAGCTTGTTTTGTTGACACATTCATTTGGTTCTGTTAATTGGACAGTGCTGTCTGTAGTTGCTACTTTTTATTGTGTAAAATTTCTGAATTCCATCCTGCTTTTAAATCTATGTAAAACCAGTTTCTGTACTTATTTCCCTCCACATGTCTACACATCCACTATTCTGTCCCTATACGTAAACCGTGCTCTGTTTGCAAGTCTTTCAATAAAAGTTTTAAAAAACTACATGTGCAGTTGTTTTATGTATTAAAATGAGAGGAGATGAGATGATGACTCAGTTTGATCAAATGAATGAATGGAATTACAACAACAGCAGTGGAGCTGAAAAGAACCGTTATCCAATCAGCACGGACTCATTCTAAAATCACGCTATGCCTACAAGTCCCGTCGGGCCCTGCGTCAACCTCGGGTTGGTCCACCCTTTGTGGAGGCACGGGGGAGGTGAAAAATATCCGTGCGCGTGGACAATAAACAAACGATTCAATCGCGTAGTATTGTGTATTTCAGTACACTACTCTGTTCGGGTGCTGTGTTTTAATATCACAAACGAGTAGCATAATGTACTCGTGGTAGTTGTATTCTCCCTGGACCCTGTGGGCTGCAGCGATGGTCGCGCCTGTAACGTGCACATGTTGCTGCTTTGCTTTGCTTTGAACTGAAATAGAGTGAGGGGAAACGTTTCGTGAACAGCCGGGCAGGCAGCCGTCCAGCGGAAAAACTCACACAGAGCCCGCCACCCTGACACACTTTCCAGTTTGCAGTCAGCGGCACTGTTGCTCCTGTCACGCTGTTTTTTATTTAGCTTCCCTGCTTTCACCCAAGTCGTTTTTTGATACTACAGATCAGGCCGAGTAATATCGGATGTGGTAAGTTCTTACACACTTGTGCGCTCTCTTGTCTCGCTAGTGTTAGCCCCCAGCTAGTTGGCTAACGTTAGCTAGTTAGCCACCGTAGCGGCACTGGAAAGGAAAAAGTCGCTGGGTGGCTAGATAGCTCCATGGCTAGCCGCACATATGCTAACAACTACGCAGTCGTTTGGGCTGCGTTATCGGTCGCCTTTAACGTGAGTTGCCGTCGGCTATCCGAAGCATTTCAGCTCCCAGCCTCGGCAGCCGTGGCCAACAAGCCTCTGGAACGCAACTAATAACGTTAAATTAGCATTTGCACATTTTATGTGCTCGAGGGTGTTGTGTTAATATTCAGTCATAAACAGTAGGTGGAAGGCTAGTTGGCTACAAACATTAGATGGACGCTCTGCTGTTGATGAAAGCGAACTTGCATCACAGAAGCTGCTGGAGATCTATTCTCGATTGGTGTGTTATGTTAGGTTAACAATACGGCAGCATGGAAATCAGTGTAACCACAAAAACGTGATATTGAATAGTGTCTCCTCTTTGATTGCCAAGTTTAGGCAGTCTGTGAACGTGACATTGATTATATTCGTACGTTTCAGATCCAATAGACTCGAGGGAAATAGTGTTTAATTCAATCTTTTGGCAGCACGGAGATGAGAACGGGGATCCCCTCATGTGTACCCGAGAATCTGCGGCCCACTCTTTGCCTGGGCCTTTGTCATTTGCTAGGCACCCCCTCCCCCAATACTCCTCCTCTGCAAGGAATGCTCACCCCTAACCTCAATGTGACTGAGGGCCCAAGACGATCAGCATCGCCACAGCTAGCAAGTAGCCCACCCGATGTTTGTACCTGCCTCCATCGTCAGGCTCGCAGTACCCGTGTGTTTAGTAGAAATCAGGAATGGCTTCACGTGGTCAACCCATTAACCAGGTCGCAGGAAGAATACACCAAACTTGGCTCTGCCCTGAAGATGTGTTGTTTTCTTTTAATAGTGCATTGTGGCACGTGTGGTTGGGAGCTTTTGTATTCACTGTCTTCTCCCACAAACCACTTCCCAAGATGCCTGCTTGCTGATGGGCTCCATTCAGCACTGGTAGACGGGACTGTAACTTTAAAAAGATGACTAATATTCAGTAGGTCTGACTTCCCTTCTCTCGTTTTAGCACCAGGCTGGCTCCTTGTGTGTTTTCAGGAGACCTGCATGGTGTTTCTTGCAGGGATCTGTGGAGGTCCAGCAGTTCATTGTACAGTAACGTACTGTACACGGCATGCATCCTCTGGTAACGGAGGGGGGGCGGAACGAGTTGGCTTTAGCCCTCCCGACCAATGAGCTGCACGCCTGGCCTGAGCAGCGTGCTCCCCGCCGCCCTCTCCCCGTTCAACGTCTCGGCCCGAGCGTCACTGCTCCCCCCCGCCCCTTCCTCCCCGTCTGCCATTTTGGTTTTGTTCCCGTCTGCAGTCGCGAAGCCAGCACAGCGATCACACCGGAGAGACTGAGCCCAGCGACGTAGTGACTCGACAATATAGCAGCAGACCGTCCTCACCACGCATCCCGCGTCCATTTTCTCCGCACAAAACCGTCGAATCTCCCGTCGTCGTCAGCACTGACATCCAGACACAGCGGGAGAGGAGCGGGTTCGCATTGGGAAGGGACCGAGAAGCATTATTGGTAAGGAAGGAGAAATCAATGAGGCACGAGTGTAATGGCTACTCTTTCATTTCGTTGGATTGCTCCCGTTGAGCGATAAAGTTGGATATCCGTCCCTGTGTTAAACGTCGGAGCGTGAACTCACACCCGTGTACGGGCCGCGGTTGTCGGGTGTCAAAATACAACCGTGGCTGTTGTTTGCGGGGCAGGTTGCGAGCATAGCTTCAGCTGCTAGCTTGTAAAGTTGTGATCCGCACCCGGGCTGATGCAGGCCCCAGGCCGAGGAGCTAATGGCCAGGGGCTGACAGCGGTGTTTTCTTGCCTCCTGAGTTATTCATGTTGCGACTCTGTCCACTTGCCAAATCACTTAACTGATTAGCACCAACCTACTTAATGGTTTCACTCTCCGTGTAGCTCACTGACATTTAACGGAGCTTTTTTTTAAACGTGTAAAAATGGTCCGTTACGAGGTGTTCGAGCAATAACAGTGGTGGGGAGGGAGGCTCGGTGCTTTGCTGTATCATGCCGGATGCCTTCATTTTCGTTTTGACGACAACCAACCGTGTATTATAAATCAAGTGAAAACCATCGTTTACCGATTATTAAAGCGTTGACTAGCAGAAAGATTAAACACAGAGAGGGGTACGACCGGTCAAAGTTTGTTTATTTCTGGGCGGCAGGTAAGTTAGCTGCATTGGATGCGGAAATTGTGGCCGATCGGGTTCGTCGGGCGGTGGGATTCAGATACTGCGGCCTATTTTCCCTTCAGAAGTGAATGAGCTTCTCCTGAAAATTGCCTTAATCACATTATGCTCGGGTGTTAATCTTAAAAGAGTATAATCGCTAATAAACACGCCCTTTAATATAGTGAATTCAGAGGATTGTTTCGAATAGTACACTGTGATCCTTGTGTCCACACCTGCGAGCCAGTGCGCGGTAGTGTTCACCGCAGTGAAGTTTTAATGATTCAGCTGTTTTTCTTGAAACAATGTTGGCATTTCATGTTTCTGGTACAATAAACAATGGAAGTCCATAAACAAGTCAACGCAGTCTCTGAGCATGAAAGGGACTGATAATGCTTTTATTCACGTCTCTTTCCCTGCTCAGTTCGTTTTCTAGCAGATTTGTTTTTGGCCGGCAGCCAGCCCAGCTGCTCTCTAGACCAGAAATCCTCTCTTCAACATGAGGATTAGGTAGCCTTTAGCTCGGAAACTCATCTTAATCAAACCATAGCAATGAATTATATATTTCTCACTACTTTTAATCTGTATTTTAATCAATTTTCTTTTTAAAACCTCAATGGAAAGCAATGCATGCATGTGGACACTGGATTCAGTTTTTCCACTCAATATATTTTAATTTTTTTTGCAGCTGTTAACCTTGAGTTCTTGTGTTATCCTTTGTAAAGTGATAAAGGGGAGATGTGATGCAACAATATTCAGCTTGTTGTTCCTTTTGGTGTTTTGCTGATGAACAGATGTCCAGCTCGCCGCTGTCCAAGAAGCGTCGCTTGTCAGGAACAGAGACGAAGACGGGATCCCACTGCTCCTCCTCTAACTCTGTCAGAACTGATCTGTCCCACACACCTGCCAACGTAAGCACTAACACATACATTGTGTACTTTTGGATAGAACTTGTAACTTAAACTTAATTGCATTTCCTGCTGTCTCTCCTTAGGGCATGGCTAAGAATGGCAATGATGCTGAGATTGACGAAGGCCTGTACTCCAGACAACTGTAAGTCCTCTCTGTCGAAGTCTTGTCCAGACAATGGAGAACAGACAAACCTATTTTTATTTATAGTTAGGCATTAAAAATGCAGAGTTGTGCTGATTGTGCTTTCTCTGCCAATGTAGTTACGTGTTGGGCCATGACGCTATGAAGCGCATGCAGAACTCCAATGTCCTTATCTCTGGTATGAGAGGTCTTGGAGTGGAGATTGCCAAGAACGTCATCTTGGGAGGAGTTAGAAGTGTCACTGTACATGACCAAGGACTTGCAGAATGGAGAGACCTTGCCTCTCAGGTGGGAAGTGCGCATTTATATTCTTATTTTGCATTGGCACAACAACATTTTCTTACTTATTATTTCAGTCATCAAGCCATTGGTGCAGGTTTTTGAGCCTGATGTCAAAGTCCATTGTGCTGCTGTTATGAGTCACTTGCTGTATTGTTGCCAAAAAGAGCACTGTGGCCACCCCCACCCTTGTTAACCATGGTCTGACCCAGATTTATCAGTGGCTGGCCTTTCCCTGGGTCATAATCATAGAGCTAAAGCCTGTTTTAGAACATCATTACAGTGGGTAGACTGTTAATATAATAATAAACTTTATTTATCTATCTCAAGAAAAGTGAGTAAAAAAAACTTGAACACATAAAAGCAGTAATATAAAAATAAGTATATAATATAAATAAGTAGTAAGTTTATTTCTATCAGCTTGACGTCCTTAATTTTGATGTGGCTATTTAAGGCCAGGCTGATGAACGTTAATTTAAGAGGCTCAGTATTTTGATGTGGCTATTTAAGACCGGGCTGATAATTGTTCATTTAAGAGGCTCAGCTGGGACCCCCTTTTTGTATTTTGCATGGTTGTTTTTAGATCAGTATGTCTGCTCTGTCTGTGATCATCCAGTGTGAGTTTAACCTTGGGCTCTCAAACATTTCTAT